ATGCTCCATCAGAACTGTACCAGACGGTCAGTCAAGATTTTGTGCTCAGTGTATGAAACAGCGCTCACAACCAGAAAATTTTGATTCCAAGGTGGGATATCTACCACTGAACCAAGGCCTACACCCAAAAAACAGAATGAGGTAAATGTTTGAGACACAACTTGCCTTGTTCAAAACATTAACCCACTGTTCTCATCTTTCTAGTACACTCCTATTATTTCCAAACTTCAGCTTCCTAGTCACATGCAGTACCCTTGATGTGTAAAAGATATTTTTTCAGAAGATCAGTATTTCTAGTTGTTTCATGGCTGCAAATCATATAATTGGCACCTTTGTAAGATGTAACAGTGCACACGTGCAGAGGGGGCAAGTTTAAAGTTTTGGCAGAGATCTGTAGCTTGGGTTGTAGATGAAGTTGCTGATTTGCTTGCCGAGCTGGCATATTTTTTGGTCGGGACCCGAAACGTCAGCTTTCCTGCTCGGCCTGCTGTGTTCCTCCAGCTCCACACTGTTATCTCAGACTCCAGCATCGGCAGTTCTTACTATCCGAGTGTTTTTTGTTCCGATGTTTTTGTCACCATGTTAGGTGACATCATCAGTAGAGCCTCCAATAAAGCGATATTATTCTACTCCACTTAGAATTTATACTGTCCAGTCCGTTATGGCGAGCACTATCATTTCCGGTTTTGATCTGTATGGGTTTGTATATGGGGTCCAATTCTATAGGTTTGTTGATTGAAGTATGGGTGGAGAACCATGCCTCTAGGAATTCCCATACGCGTCTAAGTTTGGCTTAGGCTACTATGGTTACTCTGTCCCAGTTAAATTGATGGCCTTTCATTGTCTGAACGTACAGATATTAATGAGAGTTTAGTCGTGCCATTTTGCTGCTAGCTGATGTTCGTGTATTCTGATGGCTAGTTTCCTTCCTGTCTGTCCAATGTAATGTTTGTGGCAGTTGTTGTGTAGCATTTTTGTAAACCATGTTCCTTCTGCATGTTGTGGGAATGGGGTCTTTAATCCTTGTAAGTGTCTGTGGTAGAGTGGCTGAGAGTTTGTGGACCACCATGATTCCTAGTGGTCTTGGAAGTCTTTTTGTCAGTTCCAATATGTTCCTGATGTAGGGCAGTGTGGTCAGTGTGTTAGGGCGTACTGTGTCCTCCTGTTGCTGTCTGTTTCTGTAGGCATCCGTGGATGAAGTTGCAGGGATATCCGTTTAAAGCAAGGATCTTGTATAAAAAAAAGTGTTCTTCCTCTCTCCTGCGTAGTTCTGGAGAGTTGCAGTGTGTCCTGGCCCATTTAAATAGTGTCCTAACGCAGCTCTGTTTGTGGGCAGCAACCACCCCAAAATGTCCATACAGATCAAAAGCCAGAAATGACAGTACTCACCATAACAAACTGGACAGTATAAATTCCAAACGGAGTAGAACAACATCGCTTCATCGGAGGCCCCACTGATGATATCACCTAGCATGGTGATGAAACGTCTGAACAAAAAACAAGCCAGCTCAGTGAGCAAGTCAACAACCTCAGACGGGTCAAGTGAAATATCTACCATTGCCAGATGTTATGGACCCCCTCAAAATATATTAAGAAGGTAGCCTAGAGCCTAACTTTTTCTTATTTTAAAAGGTAAGCGTAAGGTGCTGTGTTCCAGATGTAATTCGATTAGTGAAACTACTCGACATTAAGCAAAATACAATTTATTCATACATTATAGTTAAAATACATCAAAAGAAAAGAATTGGTTTAGCTGTAACTCTACTTGAATGCTTATCAAAATAATAGACACAGTAACTATTACTAATGAACTGTTCCAAAATAGTAACATCCCATGAACACATACTTGGCAAAAGGCAAATTCAAAAAAACAGATTGGAGTACTGCATGTGAGACAATTAATATTAAAAAACAACTCAGACAGAAAGCAAGAGAGAGTGAGAAAAGCAGCCAAGATCTTCACTGCCTTCCAACCCCGCTGAGAACCCCACAACTGCTGAAAGCTAAAACGAAAAGACCTGGTTCTGTAGGCGTTTGACCACACCCATTCAGGCTGCTTCTATTGTTCCATTTTAAAAAAAGCACACAAGGCTTCACAAATTGTTTATCTTCTCAGAGACTGGTCTTCACCTATCCCCCAATCTCGCTCTAAAAGAAACCACCTCTTAAAGCCACAGCATCATCACACAGATACCTTCATTATTAGAGAGAGCAGGGATTCAACAAATGTCGAATTCAAATGAAATTCAGCATCTGCAGTGTTTATATGTGTTGTATGAATCTGAAATGACTTTTATTCAGAATAGGCTCTGCCGCAGGACAGTGATCATTTCTTGTGGGTTCAGCTCTGTTCAGAGACACCTCATGGACCAGAGAGGAGCCTTTGGCTTCAGATTTTCACATTTCCAACTTCTTAATTCTTGGCTCAGGGCTTCTTCACTAATTATTTCTGGTTACCTTCTTTATCCCTTTCCCATGGGCTTCCTGCTAATGTGATGGAACCAGAGGTGCCTATTCCACGAAGAAACGGAATATTCTTCACTTCCCTTCGGATACTGAAGGAGCTGTGGCACCAGCGCTTCTCCACATCAACCCTGTTGCCAGAGCTTTCTTTATTGCAGCCAGAGATGTTCCCTTGTGATTGCTGCAATCCCTCACAACCTTATTGCTGATTCACATCCTGGGCGATAGCTACAAATGCTCAGTCCCATCTGCATGTGTGCAGGCGCCATCTTTGGCAGCCATCTTGGATTTTGTACCATTCACCCCAATTGTTTTATCCAATTCCTGGGCTGATTTGTATGTTTCATTTCCTTGACTTTTTTAGATTCACATTCTAACTCCTATCCAACTAGATTCCAAAACTTCATTTTACTTCTCACTGCAATTCCAAATCAACACACTCCAAGTAACTCTGTCATTTCATTTTCAAAGGCAAACAGCAAAGTCAATCTGCTATCAAATCAAAGAGAAATCTAACAACACTGTAGATCGCTCCCCAAAGTTTGGGTAGCATAATTCATAAATACAATTACTATTATCCCTGTTGCAATATAAATAATTATCACAAGCTTTAAAAATATAGCATCAGATATTGTGCATTGATTCATAAATTTCTTTCATTGTAGTTATGAGTATGAAATGTTATAAACAGATTAATTTCTTTGAAATAATGCTGTAACTGATACTTAACATGTATTGATAGATTTGATCCATGTATCAACACTCTAGTTATGGTTATGTTTTTCTTTGATCAAAAATAGAATTTATTTATAAAATTGCAAAATATACATTACAAAACATTCCAGATCAAAGAGTAAAGAAAATACAATAAACTTTAACTTTTCGCCATAAGCGCATTCAGTCTGGAGGTGCCTCAATACAACTGCATTATTCTTAATGATTACAATATAAATTCATCACTCCATGAACAGTTCATCAGCTTGTCAACTTTGACTCACGCTACAGTCCCGTTTCACACATTTGGTAGGTTCATTCACTCTTGAGTTAAATTGTTACTTTAAGTGGTCAATTATTGGCTGTGGACTTAGCTCCTTGATGTCAGTTGAGAGTGGGCTACTTCCTCCAGAGCACAAGGCAAAGAGGGAAAGGGAAAAATGAATGGGGTGGGGAGATGGAAAGTTGGAAGAAAGTCGAGAGGGCGGGAGGCGCGAGCGAGGGCGCGAGGTGTGGAACAGGGCAAGTGAAATTAGATGGAAAGAAAACACACGGACGAGAAAAAACCATGAGTAGAATCAACCTCTCATCTGCAGAAAGAAACAAGCAGCCTACAGATGAACCATTCACCTTGCAACCATTACTGGGCCCGTTGAGGAGACAGTTGCACATTTTTTCAGTTTAGCATAGGCACTGAAATTCTGCTCAGTGAATCTTCAGTTTTCCCACTGTACCTTCAGAGAGACACCAGCAAAACCTTCCAGAGAAGCTAGGTCTCACCTCCCTCCAGAATCGCAGGCCTTTGAAATGTAACTTTAGTGGCATGTCACTGTAGATTGGAGTGAGGGAGTTTGAGAGTTCACTGCACTCACCTTCTAAAAGCAAACATGCAAGTTCTTTAATAATAAACACTAGGCAGGCAATTAGAATTCAGGAATTCAATTTTCAGAATGGCAAGCAATAAAACTGAATTTGATAAATCTGATTAATTGATAGGCCAGCACAAGGAAAGTGATCAAGTGATTAATTAACAGCCTTTGGAGATAGAACACGTTGTCAGATCTGTACATGACTGCACTCTCTCAACATGTCACTGGCTCAATGCCCCTTGAAGCAGTCAAAGAGTCGGTTGTAAAAACAGTTGTGATACACAAGGGCAGTGGAGATTCACGGAAAAGGTTTGTGCCTGGTTAAGGCAATATACATAGCCTGGCCAGTGTTGTCCAGATACAGACATCAAGTTTAAAAAAAAAGTTAATGTTTCACTTTGGGACTACTCCCACCTGCAATCAAAACAAGTTTATTGAATATGACTTGCCCAAAATGCAGTTCTGGCTCTCAGTCAGATCCCCATCTAGTTAAGGTGCATCCAGCTGCCAACTAATTCTGTAGCTCCTAAATTAAGGCTCGCATCACAGTGATAGCGTCACTACCTCTGTGCCAGGAGGCTTGGGTTCAATTCCCACCTGTTCCAGAGTGTACTGTAACACATCTGAACAGTTTGGTTAAAAGTATCAACAGCTATTGTGCTCCCTCCAACAGCACGGTCAGTGTAACATAACAGTTCAAGACAGCTCTTAATCACTTCCTCAAAAAGATACTATAGATGGTTAAAAAAAAAAAAAAAAATGGCCTTGCCATCAACACCCACATCCCACACAACAGAAAAATCTTGTAATGGTACCCAAAGTAATAACCATAACTTAATGGCAGATTCCCCTTTGCATCTACTAGCTGCCCTCAGGAGATGCAATTATTGTTTGAAGAGTAACCTGGAGGGAAAAGAAAGAAGCAGTTTTTCTGAAAACGGAGGAATCACTCACCTGCAACATGCAACTGAGGCCGTAAACTAAAGGGCGATGCTGCGGACACGAATGGAAATCCGAGAAGGCCGACTGCACTGGGCTCATTACTACAGCAGGAGCAGCGGGACTAGGAGCAGCCAGAGGAACGTTATTTGGTCCAATGATCACGTGAGGAGAGTGTGCAGGAACAAGGTTTGCAGAGTTTTCACTCAGAAGAACGGAAAGCCTCCTGGCACAGAAATAGGCAAGGCGACGGGATAAATAAGCCGACTGAACAAACTCTTCAGAATACTGAAAGAAAGCAAAGATTATTGGGTAGATCTTGCTGTACAAGACATTTTGCAGTTGTTCGATACCTAATTTCCTGCCCTCCAACCTACTCCTATGAGAAGCAGCAGCCTCATGTTGGCTTCCAGTCTAACCCATCTGACCCTGTAAGGTGTAGGAGCAAAAGTAGGCCATTCAGCCCACGGAATCTGCCCCATCATTCAATGAGACCATGGCTGATCTGATAATCCTCAACTCCACTTTCCTGCCTTATCCCTACATTTGTTTATTTATTTACTTACTGATTAAAATCAGTCAGTCAGTCTCGTGTTGACTAAAAACCCCAGCCTCAAATGCCCTCTATAGTGAAGAATTCCACAGACTTCCTACCCTCTGAGCAAAGAAATTCCTCATCTGTTTTAAATGGACAAGCCATTATTCTGAGGTTATACCCTCTGGTCCTGGACTCTCCCACAAGAAGAAACATCCACCCTGTCATACAGTCATACAGCACAGAAACAGACCCTCCGGTCTGACTCATCCATGCCGACCAAGTTTCCCAAACTAACTAAGTTCCACTTGCCTGCGTTTGAATCAAATCCCTCTAAACCTTCCCTATGCATGTACCTATCCAAATGTGTTTCGAGTGTTGTAACTATACCTGCACCTAATACTTCCTCTGGCAGTTCATTCCACATACGAACCACCCAGTGTGTGAAAAAGTTGCCCCTCACGTCCTTTTTAAATCTGACCCAAAATGTTAACTCTGATTTTTTTCTTGACAGATGCTGCCAGACCTGCTGAGCTTTTCCAGCAACTTCTGTTTTTGTTCCTAATTTTCAGCATCTGCAGTTCTTTCGGTTCTTTTTAAATCTTCCTCCTCTCACCTTAAAAATATCTTCCCCAGTTCGCATCTCACCCACCCTCGAGAAATGATCTTTGCTTTTCACCTTATCTATGCCCCTCAAATTTTACAAACCTTTATAAAGGTCAGCCCTCAACCTCCTGTGCTCCAGTGAATCAAGTCCAGCCTCTCCTTATAACTCAAACCCTCCATTCCCAGCAACATCCTGGTAAATCTTTCCTGAACCCTCTCTAGTTTAATAATATCCTTCCCATTGCACAGCAACCAAAACTATACATTGTACTCCAAAATGGCCTCATTAACGTCCTGTACAACTCTAGTATTCAATGGTCTGAGCAATGAAGGTAAGAGTGTTAAACTCCTTCTTAACCATCCTGTCTACCTATGATATAACTTTCAAAAGAAACATGTACCTGAGCCCCTAGGTGCCTCTGTGCAACACCACCACCCAGGGCCCTACCATTAACTGTACAAGTCCTGCCCTTGTTTGTTTTACCAAAATGCAATACTGATATTTATCCAAACTAAACTCAGTCTGCCACTCCTCAGCCCATTGGCCCAATTGATCCTAGTTAACCTTCTTCACTGTCAAATATACCAACTTTGGTATCACCCACAAACTTACAAAGCATGCCTCCTAAATTCTCATCCAAATGGTTTACATAAATTACAACAGTGGACCCAACACTGTTCCCTGTGGAACACCGCGAGTCACAGGCCTCCAGTCTGACAAACAACTCTTCACCACCGCTCTGTCTCCAACATCAAGCCAAGGTTTTAAGAGTAGATTTCGTAGCTCATGTCGTAGTTGGTTGGCTCGCTGAGCTGGTTCGTTGTTCCGCAGACGTTTCATTACCCTGCTAGGTAACATCATCAGTGCAGCCTCTGATGAAGTGCTGTTGCGTTTTCCCACCTGTTACTTAAATTCTGGTGTCTGTTGGATTTGATTACCTCACTTCCAGTTTTCCTTCGCAGTGGTGTATATATAGGGTCTAGCTCTATGTGTTTGTTGATAGCCGCCTTAGTGGAGAACCAGGCCTCTAGAAATTCCTGTGCTGGTCTCTGCTTGGCCTGTCCCAGGATCCTGGTGTTATCCCAATCGAACTGGTGGTTTTCCTAATCCATGTGGATGGAGACGAGGGAGTATTGGTCATGACTTTTTGTTGCCAGTTGGTGTTCATGTACTCTTGCGGCTAAATTTTCTTCCTGTCTGTCCAATGCAATGTTTGTCGCAGTCTCTGCAAGGAACATTGTATATGATGTTGGTTCTGTCCGTACTGAGTAACGGGTCTTTGGTTCGGATTAGCAGTTGGCGTAGTGTTGATGTGGGTTTGTGCGCTACTCCGATGCCATGTAGGTCGTAGGAGTCTTGTGGTAAGTTCAGATATGTTCTTGATGTATGGTAGCATGATGTGTGTCGGGGCATGCAGTACCTTCCTGTTGTTGTTCATATAATAGGCATCATCTGACCCAGTTGTTCGGGTATCCACTGTCCTTGAATACTCGGTGGAGGTATTCTTCTTCTTTCTGGCGTAGTTGCGGGTTGCTGCAGTGTGTTGTTGCTCATGTAAATATAGTGTTCTCACGCAACTTCGTTTGCATGTGTTAGGATGGTTGCTGTTGAAATTCAGTACTTGGTCAGTGTGTGGCTTTCCTTTGTACCTTTGTTAGGAATTTCTCGTTGGGCCTGCATTGTTCTTTTCCTCTTCCCTGGTGAATTTGATCCCGGTGAGAGTGTTGTTTATTAGTTGGTGTGTCTCCTCTAGTTTGGTCTTTCTAATAATGACGTGTCATCCACGTAGCGGATCCATAGTTTTGGTTGGACTAACAGAAGGGCCTTGCTTTCGAATCTCTGCATCACCGCTTCAGCTATTGGTTCGGAGATAGGTGATCCCATGGGTGTCCCGTTGATCTGTTCATATATTTGGTCGTCAAAAGGTAAAGTGGGTCGTAAGGCATAGGTCCAGTAGCTTCAGCATGTTGTCTGTGGAGACTGTCACTAGGACCTTGTTCTGGTTTTAGTCATGTTGCCAGTGTTTCTCCTGCAAGTGGTACGTCGATCGATGTGAATAGGACAGTAATGTCGAATGATACCATGGTCTCGTCATCATCTATTCTTGTGTCCTTGAGGGAATTGAGGAGCTCGTGGGCTGAGTGGATTGAGTGGGGTGATTTGCTGACAAGGTGCTTTAGTCTCCTTTGCAAGTCCTCGGTTAATCTATGCAATGACGTGCCTGGCAGGGAGACTATATGTCTAAGGGGTACTTCCGGTTTGTGTACTTTTGGGAGGCCGTAGAATCGGGGGGAGGTGTTAGTTCCTTCTGGTTTCATTCTTAGATAGTCTGTTTTGTTGATTTGCCCAGTCTGTTTGAGTCTCTTTAACGCACCGAGTATCTTGTTGCCCAGTTGTGGTGTCGGGTCCATCTGCACTTGCCAGTATGTGTTCGCGTCAGCTAGTAGTGTCCGTGCTTTGGTGAGGTAGTCTCGCTTGTTTAGTATTACTGAAGTATGCCCTTTGTCCACTGGTAGTATTATGGGCTTTTTGTCCTTTTTCAGTCCTTCTAGGACCTTCCTATCTGATGTGTTAAGAGTGTTGATTTCGCTCCTTCTGGTCAGCGTCGGGATCACTGTCTGTCTTATGGCTTATTGTATTTCTTCATTGATGCAGTTGGCCTTCAGTGTGGCTAGAAATTCTGTCTTGTTAGCGTCCCGGTGGTTGTAGTGGAGTCCGCAAGTTAGAACAGCTTTCTGTGTGTCTGTCAGTTTCCTGTCTTAAAGGTTTCTTATCCAGGTGACTGCTCCATGATTGTCGTTTTGGTGGGTTAGTTTGGCTAGTTTCTCTTGAAGGATCTGTCTTTTCTTTGTTCTTGTTTTCTCTGGATTGATGTCAATGGCTCATTCTAAGTCAGTTGTCCAGTCCTGGTTGGTAGCGTCCAGGAATAAAGTTTTTTGGCGCATAATTTCTCTGTCATATCTATGGAGCCGGTTGTGTATTTTGTACCTAATTGATAGGTTCTCCCAGAATCCCATGTGCTACCTTTATTAAACAGTCTATGATACAGAATCTTGTCAAAGGCTTTATTAAAGTTCATGTAGACAATCTCTACCCTCAATCTTTCCACTTACGTACTCAAGAAGCTCAATCAAGGCAGTGATGCACAAAGCCATGCTGACTATCCCTAATCAGTCCCTGCCTCTCCAAATGCATGTAAATCTTATCTCTCAATCCCCTCCAACAACTCATCCACCACCGATGTCAAACTCACAGGTTTGGAGTTACCAGGCTTCTCCAATAAAGGCACAATATTGGCCACCCTCAGTCCTCCGGTGCCTCACCCATGGCTATAGATGATGCACACCTCTCCACTAGGGGCCCCGGAATTTCTTCCCTAACTTCCCACCATGTCCTGAGATATACTTGATCGGGTCCCGGAGATTTATGCGCCTTTAACGTTTTTTTTTTAAACAGACCTCTAGCACTTCCTCTTCTGTAATGTAGACCGTTTTCAAGACATCAATATTTATTTCCCCAGGTTCCCTAGCCTCCCTTTCTTCCTCCAACAGTAAAAACTGACAAAATATTTATTTAATATCTCTCCTATTTCCTGTGATTCCACACAAAGATCAACGAGGTTGTCTAAGTGGCCCTACTCTCTCCCTAGTTGTTCTTTTGCTCTTAGATGTCCTACCAAGTCCTCTAAGAATGTTTCAATGAGGTTACCTCTCATTCTTCCAAACTCCATTGAGTACAGGCCCAACATACTCCAACTCCTCATTACAAAATCCCTCCAAATCAACATAGTGAACCTTCTCTGGACTCTCTCTAATGCCACTATATCCTCACTTGGGTATGAGGACCAGAACTATTCACAGTATTCCAGCTCTAGTCTGGTCTAAATAAAGCAAGGTGTGTGTAGCCAGAATCAAGCATGATAGCTGCAATGGGAAAGACCCAAAAAAGATGAGGCCAATCCTCACTTATATACCACTCTACGGATGTAGGGCTTGGCTATGTTACCAGGACTAAAAACATGGAAGACTAATATCCAGAGAATAGTAGCTCAAATTCAGCCATGGCCATTTGAGAATTGAAACATTTTAAAAATCTAAACTGGAAATATGCCTCTGCATTTAGTAACAGGAGTATAAAGATGTAAAG